CAGGCCGGTTGGTCCAACCGGTCCACAGGACCAACTGGCCGGTTGGTCCAACCGGTCCACAGGACCAACAGACCGGTTGGTCCAACCGGTCCACAGGACCAACTGGCCGGTTGGTCCAACCGGTCCACAGGACCAACTGGCCGGTTGGTCCAACCGGTCCACAGGACCAACAGGCCGGTTGGTCCAACCGGTCCACAAGACCAACTAGCCGGTTGGTCCTACCGGTCCACAGGACCAACAGGACGGTTGGTCCAACCGATCCACATGACCAACTGGCCGGTTGGTCCAACCGGTCCACAGGACCAACTGGCCGGTTGGTCCAACCGGTCCACAAGACCAACTAGCCGGTTGGTCCTACCAGTCCACAGGACCAACAGGACGGTTGGTCCAACCGATCCACACGACTAACTGGCCGGTTGGTCCAACCGGTCCACAGGACCAACTGGCCGGTTGGTCCAACCGGTCCACAGGACCAACAGGCCGGTTGGTCCAACCGGTCCACAGGACCAACATGCCGGTTGGTCCAACCGGTCCACAGGACCAACTGGCCGGTTGGTCCAACCGGTCCACAGGACCAACAGGCCGGTTGGTCCAACCGGTCCACAAGACCAACTAGCCGGTTGGTCCTACCGGTCCACAGGACCAACAGGACGGTTGGTCCAACCGATCCACATGACCAACTGGCCGGTTGGTCCAACCGGTCCACAGGACCAACTGGCCGGTTGGTCCAACCGGTCCACAGGACCAACTAGCCGGTTGGTCCAACCGGTCGACAGGACCAACAAGCCGGTTGGTCCAACCGGTCCAGAGGACCAACAGGCTGGTTGGTCCAACCGGTCCACAGGACCAACAAGCCGGTTGGTCCAACCGGTCGACAGGACCAACTGGCCAGTTGGTCCAACCGGTCCACAGGACAAACTGGCCGGGTGGTCCAACCGGTCCACAAGACCAACTAGCCGGTTGGTCCAACCGGTCCACAGGACCAACACGACGGTTGGTCCAACCGATCCACACGACTAACCGGCCGGTTGGTCCAACCGGTCCACAGGACCAACTGGCCGGTTGGTCCAACCGGTCCACAGGACCAACTGGCCGGTTGGTCCAACCGGTCCACAGGACCAACAGGCCGGTTGGTCCAACCGGTCCACAGGACCAACAGGCCGGTTGGTCCAACCGGTCCACAGGACCAACTGGCCGGTTGGTCCAACCGGTCCACCGGACCAACTGGCCGGTTGGTCCAACCGGTCCACAGGACCAACTGGCCGGTTGGTCCAACCGGTCCACAGGACCAACAGGCCGGTTGGTCCAACCGGTCCACAGGACCAACTCGCCGGTTGGTCCAACCGGTCCACCGGACCAACTGGCCGGTTGGTCCAACCGGTCCACAGGACCAACTAGCCGGTTGGTCCAACCGGTCCACAGGACCAACTGGCCGGTTGGTCCAACCGGTCCACAGGACCAACAGGCCAGTTGGTCCAACCGGTCCACAGGACCAACAGGCCGGTTGGTCCAACCGGTCCACAGGACCAACTGGCCTGTTGGTCCAACCGATCCACACGACTAACCGGCCGGTTGGTCCAACCGGTCCACAGGACCAACTGGCCGGTTGGTCCAACCGGTCCACAGGACCAACAGGCCGGTTGGTCCAACCGGTCCACAGGACCACTGGCCGGTTGGTCCAACCGGTCCACCGGACCAACTGGCCGGTTGGTCCAACCGGTCCACAGGACCAACTAGCCGGTTGGTCCAACCGGTCCACAGGACCAACTGGCCGGTTGGTCCAACCGGTCCACAGGACCAACAGGCCAGTTGGTCCAACCGGTCCACAGGACCAACAGGCCGGTTGGTCCAACCGGTCCACAGGACCAACTGGCCGGTTGGTCCAACCGATCCACACGACTAACCGGCCGGTTGGTCCAACCGGTCCACAGGACCAACAGGCCAGTTGGTCCAACCGGTCCACAGGACCAACAGGCCGGTTGGTCCAACCGGTCCACAGGACCAACTGGCCGGTTGGTCCAACCGATCCACACGACTAACCGGCCGGTTGGTCCAACCGGTCCACAGGACCAACTGGCCGGTTGGTCCAACCGGTCCACAGGACCAACTGGCCGGTTGGTCCAACCGGTCCACAGGACCAACAGGCCGGTTGGTCCAACCGGTCCACAGGACCAACAGGCCGGTTGGTCCAACCGGTCCACAGGACCAACTGGCCGGTTGGTCCAACCGGTCCACCGGACCAACTGGCCGGTTGGTCCAACCGGTCCACAGGACCAACTGGCCGGTTGGTCCAACCGGTCCACAGGACCAACAGGCCGGTTGGTCCAACCGGTCCACAGGACCAACTGGCCGGTTGGTCCAACCGGTCCACAGGACCAACTGGCCAGTTGGTCCAACCGGTCCACATGACCAACAGGCCGGTTGGTCCAACCGGTCCACAGGACCAACAGGCCGGTTGGTCCAACCGGTCCACAGGACCAACAGGCCGGTTGGTCCAACCGGTCCACAGGACCAACTGGCCGGTTGGTCCAACCGGTCCACAGGACCAACTGGCCGGTTGGTCCAACCGGTCCACAGGACCAACAGGCCGGTTGGTCCAACCGGTCCACAGGACCAACTGGCCGGTTGGTCCAACCGGTCCACCGGACCAACTGGCCGGTTGGTCCAACCGGTCCACAGGACTAACTAGCCGGTTGGTCCAACCGGTCCACAGGACCAACTGGCCGGTTGGTCCAACCGGTCCACAGGACCAACAGGCCAGTTGGTCCAACCGGTCCACAGGACCAACAGGCCGGTTGGTCCAACCGGTCCACACGACGAACTGGCCGGTTGGTCCAACCGGTCCACAGGACCAACTGGCCGGTTGGTCCAACCGGTCCACAGGACCAACAGTCCGGTTGGTCCAACCGGTCCACAGGACCAACATGCCGGATGGTCCAATCGGTCCACAGGACCAACAGGCCGGTTGGTCCAACCGGTCCACAGGACCAACAGGCCGGTTGGTCCAACCGGTCCACAGGACCAATAGGCCGGTTGGTCCAACCGGTCCACAGAACCAACAGGCCGGTTGGTCCAACCGGTCCACAGGACCAACTGGCCGGTTGGTCCAACCGGTCCTCAGGACCAACTGGCCGGTTAGTCCAACCGGTCCACAGGACCAACTGGCCGGTTGGTCCTACCGGTCCACAGGACCAACAGGACGGCATGACTAACTGGCCGGTTGGTCCAACCGGTCCACAGGACCAACTGGCTGGTTGGTCCAACCGGTCCACAAGACCAACAAGCTGGTTTGTCCAACCGGTCCACAGGACCAACTGGCCGGTTGGTCCAACCGGTCGACAGGACCAACAAGCTGGTTTGTCCAACCGGTCCACAGGACCAACTGGCCGGTTGGTCCAACCGGTCCACAGGACCAACAAGCCGGTTGGTCCAACCGGTCGACAGGACCAACTGGCCAGTTGGTCCAACCGGTCCACAGGACCAACTGGCCGGGTGGTCCAACCGGTCCACAAGACCAACTAGCCGGTTGGTCCAACCGGTCCACAGGACCAACACGACGGTTGGTCCAACCGATCCACACGACTAACCGGCCGGTTGGTCCAACCGGTCCACAGGACCAACTGGCCGGTTGGTCCAACCGGTCCACAGGACCAACTGGCCGGTTGGTCCAACCGGTCCACAGGACCAACCGGCCGGTTGGTCCAACCGATCCACACGACCAACTGGCCGGTTGGTCAAACCGGTCCACAGGACCAACTGGCCGGTTGGTCCAACCGGTCCACAGGACCAACTGGCCGGTTGGTTCACTCGGTCCACAGGACCAACTCGCCGGTTGGTCCAACCGGTCCACAGGACCAACAGGCCGTTGGTCCAAACCGGTACATTGGACCAACAGGCCGCTACATTGGACCACAGGCCCGGCTGGTCCAACCGGTCCACAGGACCAACAAGCCGGTTGGACCACCGGTCGAGAGGACCAACCTGGCCGGTTGGTCCAAACCGGTCCACAGGACCAACTGGCCGGGTGGTCCAAAGCGGTCACAAGACCAACTAGCCGTTGGTCCAACCGGTCCACACGACCAACAGGACAGTTGGTCCAACCGATCCACACGACCAACTGGCCGGTTGGTCCAACCGGTCCACAGGACCAACTGGCCGGTTGGTCCAACCGGTCCACAGGACCAACTGGCCGGTTGGTCCAACCGGTCGACAGGACCAACAAGCCGGTTGGTCCAACCGGTCCAGAGGACCAACAGGCTGGTTGGTCCAACCGGTCCACAGGACCAACAAGCCCGGTTGGTCCAACCGGTCGACAGGACCAACTGGCCAGTTGGTCCAACCGGTCCACAGGACAAACTGGCCGGGTGGTCCAACCGGTCCACAAGACCAACTAGCCGGTTGGTCCAACCGGTCCACAGGACCAACACGACGGTTGGTCCAACCGATCCACACGACTAACCGGCCGGTTGGTCCAACCGGTCCACAGGACCAACTGGCCGATTGGTCCAACCGGTCCACAGGACCAACTGGCCGGTTGGTCCAACCGGTCCACAGGACCAACAGGCCGTTGGTCCAACCGGTCCACAGGACCAAGCAGGCCGGTTGGTCCAACCGGTCCACAGGACCAATTGGCCGGTTGGTCCAACCGGTCCACCGGACCAACTGGCCGGTTGGTCCAACCGTCCACAGGACCAACATGGCCGGTTGGGTCTCAACCGGTCCACAGGACCAACTGGCCGGTTGGGTCCACCGTCCACAGGACCAACAGGCCGAGTTGGTCCAACCCGGTCCACAGGACAACAGGCCGGTTGGTCCAAACCGGTCCACAGGACCAACTAGCCGTTGGGTCCAACCGGTCCCAGGACCAACTGGCCGGTTGGTCCAACCGGTCCACAGGGACCACAGGCCGGTTGGTCCAACCGGTCCACAAGACCAACTAGCCGGTTGGTCCTACCGGTCCACAGGACCAACAGGACGGTTGGTCCAACCGATCCACATGACTAACAGGCCGGTTGGTCCAACCGGTCCACAGGACCAACAGGCCGGTTGTCCAACCGGTCCACAGGACCAACAGGCCGGTTGGTCCAACCGGTCCACAGGACCAACTGGCCGATTGGTCCAACCGGTCCACAGGACCAACTGGCCGGGTTGGTCCAACCGGTCCACAGGACCAACTGGCCGGTTGGTCCCAACCGGTCCACAGGACCAACAGGCCGGTTGGTCCAACCGGTCCAGCAGGACCACTGGCCGGTTGGTCCAACCGGTCCACCGGACCAACTGGCCGGTTGGTCCAACCGGTCCACAGGACCAACTGGCCGGTTGGTCCAACCGGTCCACAGGACCAACAGGCCGGTTGGTCCAAACCGGTCCACAAGACCAACTGGCCGGTTGGTCCACCGGTCCACCGGACCACTGGCCGGTTGGTCCAACCGGTCCACAGGACCAACTGGCCGGTTGGTCCAACCGGTCCACAGGACCAACTGGCCGGTTGGTCCAACCGGTCCACAGGACCAACAGGCTGTTGGTCCAACCGGTCCACAGGACCAACAAGCCGGTTGGTCCAACCGGTCCACAGGACCAACTGGCCGGTTGGTCCAACCGGTCCACAGGACCAACTGGCCGGTTGGTCCAACCGGTCCACAGGACCAACTAGCCGGTTGGTCCAACCGGTCCACAGGACCAACACGCCGGTTGGTCCAACCGGTCCACACGACCAACTGGCCGGTTGGTCCAACCGGTCCACAGGACCAACTGGCCGGTTGGTCCAACCGGTCCACAGGACCAACTGGCCGGTTGGTCCAACCGGTCCACAGGACCAACAGGCCGGTTGGTCCAACCGGTCCACAGGACCAACAGGCCGGTTGGTCCAACCGGTCCACAGGACCAACTGGCCGGTTGGTCCAACCGGTCCACAGGACCAACTGGCCGGTTGGTCCAACCGGTCCACAGGACCAACTGGCCGGTTGGTCCAACCGGTCCACAGGACCAACAGGCCGGTTGGTCCAACCGGTCCACAGGACCAACTGGCCGGTTGGTCCAACCGGTCCACAGGACCAACTGGCCGGTTGGTCCAACCGGTCCACAGGACCAACTGCCGGTTGGTCCAACCGGTCCACAGGACCAACTGGCCGGTTGGTCCAACCGGTCCACAGGACCAACAGGCCGGTTGGTCCAACCGGTCCACAGGACCAACAGGCCGGTTGGTCCAACCGGTCCACAGGACCAACTGGCCGGTTGGTCCAACCGGTCCACACGACCAACCGGCCGGTTGGTCCAACCGGTCCACAGGACCAACTGGCCGGTTGGTCCAACCGGTCCACAGGACCAACAGGCCGGTTGGTCCAACCGGTCCACAGGACCAACTGGCCGGTTGGTCCAACCGGTCCACAGGACCAACTGGCCGGTTGGTCCAACCGGTCCACAGGACCAACTAGCCGGTTGGTCCAACCGGTCCACAGGACCAACTGGCCGGTTGGTCCAACCGGTCCACAGGACCAACTGGCCGGTTGGTCCAACCGGTCCACAGGACCAACAGGCCGGTTGGTCCAACCGGTCCACAGGACCAACTGGCCGGTTGGTCCAACCGGTCCACACGACCAACCTGCCGGTTGGTCCAACCGGTCCACAGGACCAACAGGCCGGTTGGTCCAACCGGTCCACAGGACCAACAGGCCGGTTGGTCCAACCGGTCCACAGGACCAACTGGCCGGTTGGTCCAACCGGTCCACAGGACCAACAGGCCGGTTGGTCCAACCGGTCCACAGGACCAACTGGCCGGTTGGTCCAACCGGTCCACAGGACCAACTGGCCGGTTGGTCCAACCGGTCCACAGGACCAACTGGCCGGTTGGTCCAACCGGTCCACAGGACCAACAGGCCGGTTGGTCCAACCGGTCCACAGGACCAACTGGCCGGTGGTCCAACCGGTCCACCGGACCAACTGGCCGGTTGGTCCAACCGGTCCACAGGACCAACTGGCCGGTTGGTCCAACCGGTCCACAGGACCAACTGGCCGGTTGGTCCAACCGGTCCACAGGACCAACTAGGCCTTGGTCCAACCGGTCCACAGGACCAACAAGCCGGTTGGTCCAACCGGTCCACAGGACCAACAGGCCGGTTGGTCCAACCGGTCCACAGGACCAACAAGCCGGTTGGTCCAACCGGTCCACAGGACCAACTGGCCGGTTGGTCCAACCGGTCCACAGGACCAACTGGCCGGGTGGTCCAACCGGTCCACAGGACCAACTAGCCGGTTGGTCCAACCGGTCCACAGGACCAACAGGACGGTTGGTCCAACCGGTCCACAGGACCAACTGGCCGGTTGGTCCAACCGGTCCACAGGACCAACTGGCCGTTTGGTCCAACCGGTCCACAGGACCAACTGGCCGGTTGGTCCAACCGGTCCACAGGACCAACAGGCCGGTTGGTCCAACCGGTCCACAGGACCAACTGGCCGGTTGGTCCAACCGGTCCACAGGACCAACTGGCCGGTTGGTCCAACCGGTCCACAGGACCAACTGGCCGGTTGGTCCAACCGGTCCACAGGACCAACTGGCCGGTTGGTCCAACCGGTCCACAGGACCAACAGGCCGGTTGGTCCAACCGGTCCACAGGACCAACTGGCCGGTTGGTCCAACCGGTCCACAGGACCAACTGGCCGGTTGGTCCAACCGGTCCACAGGACCAACTGCCGGTTGGTCCAACCGGTCCACAGGACCAACTGGCCGGTTGGTCCAACCGGTCCACAGGACCAACAGGCCGGTTGGTCCAACCGGTCCACAGGACCAACTGCCGGTTGGTCCAACCGGTCCACAGGACCAACTGGCCGGTTGGTCCAACCGGTCCACAGGACCAACCGGCCGGTTGGTCCAACCGGTCCACAGGACCAACTGGCCGGTTGGTCCAACCGGTCCACAGGACCAACAGCCGGTTGGTCCAACCGTCCACAGGACCAACTGGCCGGTTGGTCCAACCGGTCCACACCAACTGGCCGGTTGGTCCAACCGGTCCACAGGACCAACTAGCCGGTTGGTCCAACCGGTCCACAGGACCAACTGGCCGGTTGGTCCAACCGGTCCACAGGACCAACAGGCCGGTTGGTCCAACCGGTCCACAGGACCAACAGGCCGGTTGGTCCAACCGGTCCACAGGACCAACTGGCCGGTTGGTCCAACCGGTCCACAGGACCAACAGGCCGGTTGGTCCAACCGGTCCACAGGACCAACAGGCCGGTTGGTCCAACCGGTCCACAGGACCAACAGGCCGGTTGGTCCAACCGGTCCACAGGACCAACTGGCCGGTTGGTCCAACCGGTCCACAGGACCAACTGGCCGGTTGGTCCAACCGGTCCACAGGACCAACAGGCCGGTTGGTCCAACCGGTCCACAGGACCAACTGGCCGGTTGGTCCAACCGGTCCACAGGACCAACGGCCGGTTGGTCCAACCGGTCCACAGGACCAACTGGCCGGTTGGTCCAACCGGTCCACAGGACCAACTGGCCGGTTGGTCCAACCGGTCCACAGGACCAACTAGCCGGTTGGTCCAACCGGTCCACAGGACCAACAGCCGGTTGGTCCAACCGGTCCACAGGACCAACAGGCCGGTTTGGTCCAACCGGTCCACAGGACCAACAGGCCGGTTGGTCCAACCGGTCCACAGGACCAACTGGCCGGTTGGTCCAACCGGTCCACAGGACCAACTGGCCGGGTGGTCCAACCGGTCCACAAGACCAACTAGCCGGTTGGTCCAACCGGTCCACAGGACCAACACGCCGGTTGGTCCAACCGGTCCACACGACCAACTGGCCGGTTGGTCCAACCGGTCCACAGGACCAACTGGCCGGTTGGTCCAACCGGTCCACAGGACCAACTGGCCGGTTGGTCCAACCGGTCCACAGGACCAACAGGCCGGTTGGTCCAACCGGTCCACAGGACCAACAGGCCGGTTGGTCCAACCGGTCCACAGGACCAACTGGCCGGTTGGTCCAACCGGTCCACAGGACCAACTGGCCGGTTGGTCCAACCGGTCCACAGGACCAACTGGCCGGTTGGTCCAACCGGTCCACAGGACCAACAGGCCGGTTGGTCCAACCGGTCCACAGGACCAACTGGCCGGTTGGTCCAACCGGTCCACGGACCAACTGGCCGGTTGGTCCAACCGGTCCACAGGACCAACTAGCCGGTTGGTCCAACCGGTCCACAGGACCAACTGGCCGGTTGGTCCAACCGGTCCACAGGACCAACAGGCCAGTTGGTCCAACCGGTCCACAGGACCAACAGGCCGGTTGGTCCAACCGGTCCACAGGACCAACTGGCCTGTTGGTCCAACCGATCCACACGACTAACCGGCCGGTTGGTCCAAACCGGTCCACGAGGACCAACTGGCCGGTTGGTCCAAACCGGTCACAGGACCAACAGGCCAGGTTGGTCCAACCGGTCCACAGGACCAACTGGCCGGTTGGTCCAACCGGTCCACCGACACGACAACCTGGCCGGTTGGTCCAAACCGGTCCACAGGACCAACTAGCCGGTTGGTCCAACCGGTCCACAGGACCAACTGGCCGGTTGGTCCAACCGTCCACAGGACCAACAGGCCAGTTGGTCCAAAACCGGTCCACAGGACCAACAGGCCGGTTGGTCAACCGGTCCACAGGACCAACTGGCCGGTTGGTCCAACCGGTCCACAGGACCAACAGGACCGGGTGGTCCAACCGGTCCACAGGACCAACAGGCCGGTTGGTCCAACCGGTCCACAGGACCAACAGGCCAGGTTGGTCCAACCGGTCCACAGGACCAACAGGCCGGTTGGTCCAACCGGTCCACAGGACCTAACTGGCCGGTTGGTCCAACCGGTCCACAGGACTAACCGGGCCGGTTGGTCCAACCGGTCCACAGGACCAACTGGCCGGTTGGTCCAACCGGTCCACAGGACAACCTGGCCGGTTGGTCCAACCGGTCCACAGGACCAACAGGCCGGTTGGTCCAACCGGTCCACAGGACCAAAGGCCGGTTGGTCCAACCGGTCCACAGGACCAACTGGCCGGTTGGTCCAACCGGTCCACAGGACCAACTGGCCGGTTGGTCCAACCGGTCCACAGGACCAACTGGCCGGTTGGTCCAACCGGTCCACAGGACCAACAGGCCGGTTGGTCCAACCGGTCCACAGGACCAACTGGCCGGTTGGTCCAACCGGTCCACAGGACCAACTGGCCGGTTGGTCCAACCGGTCCACAGGACCAACTAGCCGGTTGGTCCAACCGGTCCACAGGACCAACTGGCCGGTTGGTCCAACCGGTCCACAGGACCAACAGGCCGGTTGGTCCAACCGGTCCACAGGACCAAAGGCCGGTTGGTCCAACCGGTCCACAGGACCAACTGGCCGTTGGTCCAACCGGTCCACAGGACCAACCGGCCGGTTGGTCCAACCGGTCCACAGGACCAACTGGCCGGTTGGTCCAACCGGTCCACAGGACCAACAGGCCGGTTGGTCCACCGGTCCACAGGACCAACTGGCCGGTTGGTCCAACCGGTCCACCGGACCAACTGGGCCGTTGGGTCCAACCGGTCCACAGGACCAACTAGCCGGTTGGTCCAACCGGTCCACAGGACCACTGCCGGTTGGGTCCAACCGGTCCACAGGACCAAACAGGCCAGTTGGTCCAACCGGTCCACAGGACCAACAGGCCGGTTGGTCCCAACCGGTCCACAGGACCAACTGGCCGGTTGGTCCAACCGATCCACACGACTACCGGCCGGTTGGTCCAACCGGTCCACAGGACCAACAGGCCCAGTTGGTCCAACCGTCCACAGGACAACAGGCCGTTTGGTCCAACCGGTCCACAGGACCAACTGGCCGGTTGGTCCAACCGATGCCACACGACTAACCGGCCGGTTGGGCCAACCGGTCCACAGGACCAACTGGCCGGTTGGTCCAACCGGTCCACAGGACCAACTGGCCGGTTGGTCCAACCGATCCACACGACTAACCGGCCGGTTGGTCCAACCGGTCCACAGGACCAACTGGCCGGTTGGTCCAACCGGTCCACAGGACCAACTGGCCGGTTGGTCCAACCGGTCCACAGGACCAACTAGCCGGTTGGTCCAACCGGTCCACAGGACCAACAAGCCGGTTGGTCCACCGGTCCACAGGACCAACAGGCTGGTTGGTCCAACCGGTCCACAGGACCAACAAGCCGGTTGGTCCAACCGGTCCACAGGACCAACTGGCCGGTTGGTCCAACCGGTCCACAGGACCAACTGGCCGGTGGTCCAACCGGTCCACAGACCAACTAGCCGGTTGGTCCAACCGGTCCACAGGACCAACACGCGGTTGGTCCAACCGGTCCACAGGACCAACTGGCCGGTTGGTCCAACCGGTCCACAGGACCAACTGGCCGGTTGGTCCAACCGGTCCACAGGACCAACTGGCCGGTTGGTCCAACCGGTCCACAGGACCAACAGGCCGGTTGGTCCAACCGGTCCACAGGACCAACAGGCCGGTTGGTCCAACCGGTCCACAGGACCAACTGGCCGGTTGGTCCAACCGGTCCACAGGACCAACTGGCCGGTTGGTCCAACCGGTCCACAGGACCAACTGGCCGGTTGGTCCAACCGGTCCACAGGACCAACAGCCGGTTGGTCCAACCGGTCCACAGGACCAACTGGCCGGTTGGTCCAACCGGTCCACAGGACCAACTGGCCGGTTGGTCCAACCGGTCCACAGGACCAACTAGCCGGTTGGTCCAACCGGTCCACAGGACCAACTGGCCGGTTGGTCCAACCGGTCCACACCAGGACGGGGGGGGGGGGGGGAACGGTCAGGACCAACAGGCCGGTTGGTCCAACCGGTCCACAGGACCAACTGCCGGTTGGTCCAACCGGTCCACAGGACCAACTGGCCGGTTGGTCCAACCGGTCCACAGGACCAACTGGCCGGTTGGTCCAACCGGTCCACAGGACCAACTGGCCGGTTGGTCCAACCGGTCCACATGACCAACTGGCCGGTTGGTCCAACCGGTCCACAGGACCAACTGGCCGGTTGGTCCAACCGGTCCACAGGACCAACTGGCCGGTTGGTCCAAACCGGTCCACAGGACCAACTGGCCGGTTGGTCCAACCGGGTCCACAGGACCAACAGGCCGGTTTGGTCCCAACGCGGTCCACAGGACCAACCTGGCCGGTTGGTCCAACCGGTCCACAGGTACCAACTAGGCGGGTTGGTCCCAATCCGGTCCACAGGACCCAACTGGCCCGGTTGGTCCAACCGGGTCCACAGGACCAACATGGTCCGGATTGGTACCAACCGGCCTCCACATGGACCAACAGGCCGGTTTGGTCCAACCGGTCCACAGGACCAATGGCCGGTTGGTCCAACCGGTCCAACATAGGACCAACTAGGCCGGTTGGTCCAATCCGGTCCACAGGACCAACTGGCCGGGTTGCGTTCCAACCGGTCCACAGGACCAACATGGCCGGTTGGTCCAAACCGGTCCCCAGGACCAACAGGCCGGTTGGTACCAACCGGTCCACAGGACCACATGGCCGGTTGGTACCAACCGGTTGGTCCAACCGGTCCACAGGACCAACTGGCCGGTTGGTCCAACCGGTCCACAGGACCAACTGGCCGGTTGGTCCAACCGGTCCACAGGACCAACTGGCCGGTTGGTCCAACCGGTCCACAGGACCAACTGGCCGGTTGGTCCAACCGGTCCACAGGACCAACTAGCCGGTTGGTCCAACCGGTCCACAGGACCAACAGGCCGGTTGGTCCAACCGGTCCACAGGACCAACAGGCCGGTTGGTCCAACCGGTCCACAGGACCAACAAGCCGGTTGGTCCAACCGGTCCACAGGACCAACTGGCCGGTTGGTCCAACCGGTCCACAGGACCAACTGGCCGGTTGGTCCAACCGGTCCACAGACCAACTAGCCGGTTGGTCCAACCGGTCCACAGGACCAACAGGCCGGTTGGTCCAACCGGTCCACAGGACCAACGGCCGGTTGGTCCAACCGGTCCACAGGACCAACTGGCCGGTTGGTCCAACCGGTCCACAGGACCAACTGGCCGGTTGGTCCAACCGGTCCACAGGACCAACAGGCCGGTTGGTCCAACCGGTCCACAGGACCAACAGGCCGGTTGGTCCAACCGGTCCACAGGACCAACTGGCCGGTTGGTCCAACCGGTCCACAGGACCAACTGGCCGTTTGGTCCAACCGGTCCACAGGACCAACTGGCCGGGGTTGGTCCAACCGGTCCACAGGACCAACTGGCCGGTTGGTCCAACCGGTCCACAGGACCAACTGGCCGGTTGGTCCAACCGGTCCACAGGACCAACTGGCCGGTTGGTCCAACCGGTCCACAGGACCAACAGGCCGGTTGGTCCAACCGGTCCACAGGACCAACTGGCCGGTTGGTCCAACCGGTCCACAGGACCAACTGGCCGGTTGGTCCAACCGGTCCACAGGACCAACAGGCCGGTTGGTCCAACCGGTCCACAGGACCAACTGGCCGGTTGGTCCAACCGGTCCACAGGACCAACGGCCGGTTGGTCCAACCGGTCCACAGGACCAACTGGCCGGTTGGTCCAACCGGTCCACAGGACCAACAGGCCGGTTGGTCCAACCGGTCCACAGGACCAACTGGCCGGTTGGTCCAACCGGTCCACAGGACCAACTGGCGGTTGGTCCAACCGGTCCACAGGACCAACTAGCCGGTTTGGTCCAACCGGTCCACAGGACCAACAGGCCGGTTGGTCCAACGGTCCACAGGACCAACTGGCCGGTTGGTCCAACCGGTCCACAGGACCAACGGCCGGTTGGTCCAACCGGTCCACAGGACCAACAGGCCGGTTGGTCCAACCGGTCCACAGGACCAACAGGCCGGTTGGTCCAACCGGTCCACAGGACCAACTGGCCGGTTGGTCCAACCGGTCCACAGGACCAACTGGCCGGTTGGTCCAACCGGTCCACAGGACCAACTGGCCGTTGGTCCAACCGGTCCACAGGACCAACTGGCCGGTTGGTCCAACCGGTCCACAGGACCAACTGGCCGGTTGGTCCAACCGTCCACAGGACCAACAGGCCGGTTGGTCCAACCGGTCCACAGGACCAACTGGCCGGTTGGTCCAACCGGTCCACAGGACCAACTGGCCGGTTGGTCCAACCGGTCCACAGGACCAACTGGCCGGTTGGTCCAACCGGTCCACAGGACCAACTGGCCGGTTGGTCCAACCGGTCCACAGGACCAACTGGCCGGTTGGTCCAACCGGTCCACAGGACCAACTGGCCGGTTGGTCCAACCGGTCCACAGGACCAACTGGCCGGTTGGTCCAACCGGTCCACAGGACCAACAGCCGGTTGGTCCAACCGGTCCACAGGACCAACAGGCCGGTTGGTCCAACCGGTCCACAGGACCAACAGGCCGGTTGGTCCAACCGGTCCACAGGACCAACTGGCCGGTTGGTCCAACCGGTCCACAGGACCAACTGGCCGGTTGGTCCAACCGGTCCACAGGACCAACAGGCCGGTTGGTCCAACCGGTCCACAGGACCAACTGGCCGGTTGGTCCAACCGGTCCACACGACCAACTGGCCGGTTGGTCCAACCGGTCCACAGGACCAACTGCCGGTTGGTCCAACCGGTCCACAGGACCAACGGCCGGTTGGTCCAACCGGTCCACAGGACCAACAGGCCGGTTGGTCCAACCGGTCCACAGGACCAACAGGCCGGTTGGTCCAACCGGTCCACAGGACCAACAGGCCGGTTGGTCCAACCGGTCCACAGGACCAACTGGCCGGTTGGTCCAACCGGTCCCACAGGACCAACTGGCCGGTTGGTCCAACCGGTCCACAGGACCAACTGGCCGGTTGGTCCAACCGGTCCACAGGACCAACTGGCCGGTTGGTCCAACCGTCCACAGGACCAACAGGCCGGTTGGTCCAACCGGTCCACAGGACCAACAGGCCGGTTGGTCCAACCGGTCCACAGGACCAACTGGCCGGTTGGTCCAACCGGTCCACAGGACCAACTGGCCGGTTGGTCCCAACCGGTCCACAGGACCAACTGGCCGGTTGGTCCAACCGGTCCACAGGACCAACTAGCCGGTTGGTCCAACCGGTCCACAGGACCAACTGGCCGGTTGGTCCAACCGGTCCACAGGACCAACAGGCCGGTTGGTCCAACCGGTCCACAGGACCAACAGGCCGGTTGGTCCAACCGGTCCACAGGACCAACAGGCCGTTGGTCCAACCGGTCCACAGGACCAACTGGCCGGTTGGTCCAACCGGTCCACAGGACCAACTGGCCGGTTGGTCCAACCGGTCCACAGGACCAACTGGCCGGTTGGTCCAACCGGTCCACAGGACCAACAGGCCGGTTGGTCCAACCGGTCCACAGGACCAACTGGCCGGTTGGTCCAACCGGTCCACAGGACCAACTGGCCGGTTGGTCCAACCGGTCCACAGGACCAACTGGCCGGTTGGTCCAACCGGTCCACAGGACCAACTGGCCGGTTGGTCCAACCGGTCCACAGGACCAACTGGCCGGTTGGTCCAACCGGTCCACAGGACCCAGGCCGGTTGGTCCAACCGGTCCACAGGACCAACAGGCCGGTTGGTCCAACCGGTCCACAGGACCAACTGGCCGGTTGGTCCAACCGGTCCACAGGACCAACTGGCCGGGTGGTCCAACCGGTCCACAGACCAACTGGCCGGTTGGTCCAACCGGTCCACAGGACCAACAGGCCGGTTGGTCCAACCGGTCCACAGGACCAACTGGCCGGTTGGTCCAACCGGTCCACAGGACCAACTGGCCGGTTGGTCCAACCGGTCCACAGGACCAACTGGCCGGTTGGTCCAACCGGTCCACAGGACCAACAGGCCGGTTGGTCCAACCGGTCCACAGGACCAACAGGCCGGTTGGTCCAACCGGTCCACAGGACCAACTGGCCGGTTGGTCCAACCGGTCCACAGGACCAACTGGCCGGTGGTCCAACCGGTCCACAGGACCAACTGGCCGGTTGGTCCAACCGGTCCACAGGACCAACAGGCCGGTTGGTCCAACCGGTCCACAGGACCAACTGGCCGGTTGGTCCAACCGGTCCACAGGACCAACTGGCCGGTTGGTCCAACCGTCCACAGGACCAACTAGCCGGTTGGTCCAACCGGTCCACAGGACCAACTGGCCGGTTGGTCCAACCGTCCACAGGACCAACAGGCCGGTTGGTCCAACCGGTCCACAGGACCAACTGGCCGGTTGGTCCAACCGGTCCACAGGACCAACTGGCCGGTTGGTCCAACCGGTCCACAGGACCAACTGGCCGGTTGGTCCAACCGGTCCACAGGACCAACTGGCCGGTTGGTCCAACCGGTCCACAGGACCAACAGGCCGGTTGGTCCAACCGGTCCACAGGACCAACTGGCCGGTTGGTCCAACCGGTCCACAGGACCAACTGGCCGGTTGGTCCAACCGGTCCACAGGACCAACTAGCCGGTTGGTCCAACCGGTCCACAGACCAACTGGCCGGTTGGTCCAACCGGTCCACAGGACCAACAGGCCGTTTGGTCCAACCGGTCCACAGGACCAACAGGCCGGTTGGTCCAACCGGTCCACAGGACCAACTGGCCGGTTGGTCCAACCGGTCCACAGGACCAACTGGCCGGTTGGTCCAACCGGTCCACAGGACCAACAGGCCGGTTGGTCCAACCGGTCCACAGGACCAACAGGCCGGTTGGTCCAACCGGTCCACAGGACCAACAGGCCGGTTGGTCCAACCGGTCCACAGGACCAACGGCCGGTTGGTCCAACCGGTCCACAGGACCAACTGGCCGGTTGGTCCAACCGGTCCACAGGACCAACTGGCCGGTTGGTCCAACCGGTCCACAGGACCAACAGGCCGGTTGGTCCAACCGGTCCACAGGACCAACAGGCCGGTTGGTCCAACCGGTCCACAGGACCAACTGGCCGGTTGTCCAACCGGTCCACAGGACCAACTGGCCGGTTGGTCCAACCGGTCCACAGGACCAACTGGCCGGTTGGTCCAACCGGTCCACAGGACCAACAGGCCGGTTGGTCCAACCGGTCCACAGGACCAACTGGCCGGTTGGTCCAACCGGTCCACAGGACCAACTGGCCGGTTGGTCCAACCGGTCCACAGGACCAACAGGCCGGTTGGTC